TGTCTGTAGTGGTGTCATTGCGCTTAGTCTTCGCTGAAACTTAACCGATGTCTGTTTGTAAGTAAACAATTGTAATGGGTGGGCTATGATCGTGGCTCGAGACGAGTCATTGTGTAGCATTTAACGCTAGCTCGTTGCACTGTGTGCTATGACACTCTGTCTCAGGCTGTTTAATTCAGACAAACAGGCCTCCCACGTGGTGACACTCACCTGGAGGAGGTGTTCCGAAATGACCAGACATCAAGAGGAACTGGGACATGATTCATGACCAAACCTGTCTTGTGTTTATAGGCCAAGTAATAACATCATTGATTGACCATGGCATACTCAAGCTATAGCTCTCTGAGTAGAGCTCAGCTTACCTTTGAGTATCTTCACACAAATTCGTAAGTGCCAGTTTACCAATATTCATGAGATGTGCATCCCTGTAAATGTGGTAACAAATCATACATACTGAGAAAAATAATTTGTCTTTAGAACAACCCATGAGTTCCTATTTGGAGCACTGGCTGAGCTTGTGGATAATTCTAGGTAAACCTGTTGCTTTTTGATGAATGAAGTCAAGCCAAACACAAAATAAACATGTATATATTTTCAGGGATGCCAGTGCTACACGAATTGATATCTACACAGGTATGCCATATCTCACAATATTTTAATAACACAAAAGATGGACATATCCACTGCCATTTTACTATTCATTTTCAGAAAAAAGGCCAGAGCTACGGGGTGGCTACATGTTATGTTTTCTTGATGATGGCATTGGAATGGATCCAAGTGAGTTTTTGTCTGTAAGCATTGTAGTTGATTTTTTTATTTAAATTTATATTGAGTAAGTTTCTCCTAGGTGAGGCAACGCATGTGATTCAGTTTGGAAAGTCAAACAAACGCTCAACAGAATCTAGCCAGATTGGTCAGTATGGAAATGGACTGAAATCGTAAGTTAATGATGTGTTTTTTTCCTGTTATACTGATAAATTGCTCTTAAATTTGTGTATTGTGTTTACCAACAGAGGTTCAATGCGTATTGGGAAAGACTTCATCTTGTTTACAAAAAAAGGCACCACTCTTACATGTTTATTCTTATCACGGACATTTCACGAAGAGGAAGGGCTGGATGAGGTTGGTACTTGTTGAGTCAGATATATACTGATTGGGGTATATTTTTGCTGGACTAAAAAGTATCAGTTTTCTTTTTAGGTTATTGTGCCTCTTCCTTCATGGGATTTGAAGACAAAAGAACCTCAGACCTCTGATCCAGAGAAGTATGCAATAGAGACAGAGCTGATCTTCAAATACTCTCCATTTAAAAATGAACTGCAACTCATGGAGCAGTTCAACAAAATAGAAAGTAGCAGCGGTATACCTACATTTTGTGACTGTGTCCATTTTGTGTGATTTTCTGTGATTAAGTTTATTACATTTTTGTACATACTTTTTTAATTTAAAGGTACTCTTGTGATTATCTACAATCTGAAGCTGATGGACAGCAGGGAACCAGAGCTGGACTTTGAGACCGATCATCAGGATATACTTATGGCCGGAACACCAGCTGAAGGAGTGTAAGTCTATTATTCAACTCACCACATTTCAGCTATGGAAAACAATGTGTCTGCTGTATCATGCTGATGCATAGGTGGTGACAATCCCCTCTTTATTTTCCAACAGGAAGCCAGAGCGCAGGTCATTCAGGGCATATGCTGCAGTTTTATATATTGACCCACGCATGAGAATATTTATCCAAGGGCATAAAGTCAGGACAAAAAGACTCTCCTGCTGCCTGTATAAACCAAGGTAATGATTTTACATAAATGCTAAAGCCTATTAACCTGCCTAGCAGGATGAATTCTCGCGATATTTGTGCATTCAAAAACTCCAGAGAATACATTTGGCTAATGCTGTTGCGGCAGGAAGTGTCCAGATGAACCAAAACAAATATGGTGATGTGAACTGCAGTGTAAATACGGACCATTTTGTTTTTGAAAAACTTGCAGAGGGAAGTGATTTGTGCATTTGTGGACTCGAAAGATGTTGCTTGAAGTGCTTTTCTGGATTTTACAAAAGTTTGATTTCTCTGCTGTTGTGACTAATCATTTTTAAATATCCAGACATTCCTCCTCTCCCCGATTGCTTTCATAGAGAGCCATTCCACATGAATACATGTGTGTTACATATCAGTCTGATGTAATTCAGGTTAACTAAATCAACCTCTTTTCCCAATTAGACTTTACAAATATTCATCCACTCGGTTTAAAACTCGTGCTGAACAAGAAGTCAAGAAGGCAGATCATCTTGCCAAAATTGGTAAGTGCTAAACTAAAACTAAAGGAAAACAATATGTAAGTAAGAGTTCTGATTTGCATTTTTTTTATAGCTGAAGAAAAAGCAAGAGAAGCCGAGAGCAAGCGCATTGCTTTAGAGGCTAAGCATGGGGATGATTTGTCAAAAGATTCACGAGTATGCTACACAATAAATTATTTAGAATGATTGTCAATAAAGGTTATTTACAAAATACCCATCAATTTGTTTTTAGGCAATTCTGAGGAAGGTTCAGGATGCAGCCATGATGCTCCGACGAGACGCAGAAATGAAACAAAGAATCCTCGAAGCCAAGCAGAAGTATGGGTTTTATAGCATAAAATCATAAACGTTTATGATATATAAAAATATATATACTGCTTAGTGTTTCCATTCTGCAACTGTTTATGTTGTCAGGGCATTAAAGGAACCTAAAGAACTGAATTTTATATTTGGTGTGAACATTGACCAGAGGGAACTAGATGGAATGTTTATTTACAATTGCTCTCGTCTCATTAAAATGTATGAAAAGACTGGACCTCAACTTGAGGGAGGAATGTAAGTACGTTGTAGTTGTCTAAAGATCAGATTGCAGGAGAGTATGCTCATTCACTTGTGTGTTTCAGGGCATGTGGGGGTGTTGTTGGAGTTGTTGATGTTCCATATTTAGTTCTCGAACCCACTCACAACAAACAAGACTTTGCAGATGCAAAAGAGTATCGCCACCTTTTAAAGTCTATGGGAGAACATCTGGCTCAGTACTGGAAAGACTCAAACATTGGTGAGCTTTCCCTCTACACGCAGTTATCCTTTTATCAGTTCTCAGAACCAGTTGCATATTTGAGAATTGCAGATATATACTGCTCAAAAATGAAATGCTGCTCTGAATGAGACACACTACATCAGATGTGACTGCAAAGTTGACACTATCTGGGAGCCAAAGCACAAGAGACGGGAATAAAGTGCATTAATCCCCAGTTTTACAGGGATGACAGTTTGTTAGTGTTGTTTGCAACATGGCTAATTCTGTTGTATTTCAACGACAGCTCAAAAAGGCATTGTGAAGTTCTGGGATGAGTTTGGCTATCTGTCGGCCAGCTGGTCTGCACCTCCTTCTTCAGAGATGAGATATAAGAGACGTCGTGCAATGGAGATACCAGTTACCATTCAGTGTGGTTAGTAATTTAACTGCTTGATCTAACTTTAAATATATTATTCTTTATCATTTGTATTTGTATCTATTTTTAGATAAATGTTTGAAGTGGAGGACGCTACCTTTTGAAATGGATGCAGTAGACAAACGCTACCCAGACAGCTGGGTGTGTCTTATGAACCCAGACAGCACCCAAGACAGGTTTGGTTAAATACACTTTTCAGAAATAATATTAACAGAGACTACCTAAATATTAAGCACACTTGCTCAATCAATCAACCCTTTGTAGATTGAGTTATTAATTGAATTTAAAGTCATTCTAAATTGCAAGTGTTTTGATGATGTTTTACAGATGCGATGCTTCTGAACAAAAACAGAATTTGCCTTGTGGGGTCTTGAAAAAAGACAAACCCACTGCTGAGAACAAACAGAAAGAACTTGCTGAAAAAATTAAACAGCAACAGGAGAAACTAGATGCCCTGCAGGTATGTAGTTCTTTGTTCCTGTGCACAATAAATGTAATAATATACATTTTTCTTTTTTCAGAAAACAAGCACTATAAAATCAGCGGCTGATATTAGAAAACTGCCACTAGAGGTGAGCCTGAAACTAACTGAAAATTAATTGAATTTAACTTGACATTTAAATGAATTTCAACTCTTTGAACTTTTATGATCCAGCCAACTAGGTCATCAGGGAGATCTGTTGCTCGCCCCCGTTCGCCGCCTTTGCCTGCTCACCTTAAAAATGCCCCCAGTGTTCCCCCGTCCCGTGCTGCTTCTCAGCGGCCCACTCGAAGCCCCGCTCCACCTCCTGCTAAACCAGAGCCACCAAAGTCAAGAACTGCAGCTAAACCAGCTACACCCACAGCAAAGCCTTCACTGAAAGCGGTCACTAAAGCAACACCACCAAGTCGAACCTCAAAAGTGAGTCTGAGTAATTGTCAATGTTTGTGATATTGTCTGGTCATGTGGTCATGTGGTTTATCTTAATACAGACCCCAGCCAAACCACTGCCAGCTGCAGCTTCTGGGCAACGCAAGAGGATAATAGAGGACGACAGTGAGGAAGAGGAAGCGGAGGAGGAAGAGGAAGAGGAAGAGGAGGATGACAGTGAAGAGGAGAGTGATGAAGAACCACAAACTAAGAAATCAAAGATGGCTGCAGCTGCTACCCGTGGCAAAGTAGTTGAGAAAAGTCCGGCACCTAAGCGAGGAAAGTTGGATGAGGTTTGTTGGATGTTGTTTGATGTGTTTTTATTACTAAAAGCTTTTGGGCCCCAACATGTGGTGAATTAACTTTCTTTTAGTTGTGGTTTTGTGAACTAATGATCTATAGTAAACTAAGTAGACTTAATTAAATATTTAAATATGGTCATAAACGACTAAGCCATTGACAGAAGATGAGAATTCGATTATTTTGCTATTGACCCCGCAGGTTAACAAACTCATCCATTCTGCGAAGAAGGGGTTTTCTACTCCAACCAGACAGGCACAGACTGCAGCAGCATCCTCCCCTAAAACTGTTTCCACACCTGAGCATGGTGCTAGAGCTAAGGTAGCCCTACTTGCCGCACTCTGCCATTTAAAATCAAGATGACTTGATTGACTTCTGCTTGCTCACTTTCAATAACCACTCTTTTTAGTCTTCTGTTGGGAGTCTTTTTTTTTTTTTTCTCCAGTTGGTGACCTTTTGGTAGAAATAGGAATTAATAACTACATCTTGATAAAGCATGCATTTTTTAGATTGCCACGATTGTGCACATTGTGGAGGGTATTAATGCTTGTCTTAGGTTGTTTTCACACTTGTTAATGTGCTCTGTGGACCTGCTGGTTTGGGCTTGTTCACATGAGGCATCAGCTAATCGTCAAACGTATTTCCATGAGCACACATTTCAAGTGGACAGAGCCCCTTGACTATACACACGTGTTTCCCTCGTGCTGTACACACGGTCTTTTCTTTCACCTATGGCTAACAACACCGTGAGGACTATACACACTGACAGCTGAGAAAAACCTTTTTGGTCAAAACACAGAGACCCAGGCTCCTCTGCACAGACAGAGGCAAGAGGAATTGTGTCTCACTGATCTTAAGTTGATCCAAATTGCCTCATCAGATGAACATATCAAACAGTAGCTCTGCACCGACCTTCATACAAATGTTATATGAGTACTTATTATACAATTCCAAGCACTTTCACACTCCAAGACCACCTGTTTCAAGCACGCTTGGATCGGCCATTTACTGTGTATCAGAATGCGACTGCTGAGTTCAGATCGGCCAGAGCGTACTGGTCTTGGAGTGAATGTTCTTTTACATTGCCCTAACAAGTAGAATTGTGAAAATTATCTTACTGATGCAACAATGACTACATTTTAACTTTTTCCAGGGACCACAAAAAGTCCAAGAAGAACCTGAAGATGATACCAAAAACGCTCAGAAAGGTTAGAAAAACTATTACTTAATAACAAGAGTAAATGGCACCTAAAAGAGCCTAAAAGTTGTTGCCTATTTTTCGTACAGATAAGGGTCTGTTAGTGGAAGTGCGTGTCAATAAAGAATGGTACACTGGTAAAGTTATTGCTGTTGAAGCAAATAAACAAACTGTTCGCTGGAAGGTTAAGTTTGACTATGTACCCACATCCACACCAAAAGACCGATGGTAAGAAATGCTTTAAACACTCTAAAATGTTCAACATGTTTATATTTATCTTCCTTGTGTTTTTTGCATAGGGTGTTTAAGGGGAGTGATGATGTTCGTTTGATGAAACCCCCATCTCCCAACTCTCAAACCCCCGACACGCAGCAGGAGACTGAGAAGGGTCCATCTCCAATGGAGCCGGACACTACACAACCAGGAACTAGTCGAGAAGTCACAGGGAGCTTGGTTAACATGCTCAGGTGTGCTTTTTGTACTAGATTCATCATTCTAACATTTGTATATCAGGATTTTGGTTCTTAAACCTGGCTCTCAATGCCATGCATATAGTTATATAATGTATAAATCAAGACAACTGATTGTGAATTAATCGCTTATGGTATTCTACAATATATTACCATATGAATAATTTGTTAATGAAATACTTGCAAATACTTGTCATTTTAAATAATTTTCATATTTTAACTTGTTATTTTCAGGACAATGCTCCACTACTTTTTTCCTCCTGTTTTCCGGATTCCCAAAGATGAAGTTAACAGCATGACGGCTGAAGAGCTGGTTTCTTTTCCTTTGGTGAGACAAATTGATATAGATTGTTACTACCTCTCCTTTCTGTCCAGCTTGTGAAGTTCAATAGATTTATTTTATATGTACTTATTCTATTTAATCTACACAATTCTCCTTGTTGTGCATTTCAGAAAGAGTATTTTCAGCAGTATGAATCTGGTCTCCAGTCTCTGTGTAACTCTTATCAGAGCCGAGCTGATGCCAAGGCCAAAGCTGTGGAAGAGAAGTGCAACAGTACAGAAAACAAATTGAAAGAAGCAGATGAAAAACTGCAGAAGCTGAGAACAAATATTGTAGCACTGCTACAAAAAGTACAAGAGGTAAGACTTTTATTTTTTAATTGAGTGTAGTGACTAAAGCAGAAATGTGGAGTGAATGCTAGTATGAATATGTATTTAGTCCCATTATAACCAGCTTAAAATTATTTTTCCTTGTCATTAATCACTCCGGCAGTCAAATGTTGTTGTTTTTTTCTTTCAGGATATAGACATTAATACAGATGATGAGCTTGATGCATACATTGAAGATCTTCTTACCAAGGGTGATTAAAGAACTCCTCTGATGCAGTATAAAGTAACTTCTATTTGGCTGTGTGCTGTTGCACCTCTCAGAGGACAATGTCTGTGCTGCTTCAGTATTCAGATCATACTTTTTTGTCAGTGCTGTTGAATTTTAGACAGTCTTGTTTTAAACATATTTTGTTGTTCTGTGGCTTTCTGTAGTCATTTTAACATTATTTACATATATATTTTGTTAAAATATATGTTAATATTGTGTTCATTTTAAAGTGCTGTAATTTCCCTAATCATTTTACGTTTTGTCCAAAAAAGTATTTTACGTTGTCTTCAGTCAGTCTTTAACTAACTTGGGCATGCTGTTTAATTCATAACTAGAGGAAGGACTTTGTCGGTCTAGGCAAACCTGAGGCAAACTTGTATTTTTGTACACTAAAACACAACTGTGTTGACCAAGACCTTGCTCCGTCCTGGAAGCCCAGGCAATACTTTTACAAGTGGGTGTAATGCCACACCCCCAACAATTATTTACTGGGTTTTATCAGTATCTATATTCCTTTAGTTTCCTGTTTTAACTAAAAATATTTGTGCAGAAAATGTTTTGCAAATTATTCCTGTGGTTCATGAAGGCAACAAACGTGTGACCCAGTTGTTTTGAAAATTGTTGCATGCTCGCTGCCAATGTACTGGAACAGACAAATTCTGTATTTTTGGAAGACAAACTTGTAACAATAAAACAGTTTCTATAACGGCATCTTCATTATTATTACGATCAAACATGTTGTAAAACCTTGTATGCTTTATATCAATATCGTACTTTTATTCTGAAAGAGTGCCGTTCCGGATGTAAACACGGCTACAGTACTTACATGGTTTTATTTTAATGTTACGAATAGATATCGCGTATCTTTAGGTGAAGACTTCCATAAAAGGTTAAAAAAAAAAATTTTTTCTTTTACGTTTGAGTGCTGACTGCAGGGACGTGCCGGGTTTTCCGGGTTTATGCTTTCTTCCCGTATAGGATTTGGGTAAATAGTCAGCAGGCTTTGTGTGAATAACTATGAACTTTAACCCACATACTAACATGTAATAAAGATACCTTAAATAGGCCAGTAGTAAAATATAGCTGAAAATACTTAAACTTTTGCAGGTCTTTGCGTTATGCGGTTTTGTACAGTTCTCTGCCGTGGGGCTGAGGGTACGGCAAGGCAAAAGGTTCCCCGTGGGCTCCCCTTTCAGTCACCCAAACCTGCCAGATCAGGCAGTGTCGCCCAAACATTCACCAAACCAGTGAATGAGGCGGCAGTAGACAGTCTATCATTCTCCAAAGCCAAAATTGGGTGCTTCTTTCAAGAAAGACCAGTACTAAAGAATCCATTCCTTGAGGATGCTCTGCTCAAGGGCTATCTGAAGAGGTATATACCACATGAGGTGAGATGTTGCATCTTTGAGTTGTCGATTGATTATTTATTTATTTATTTATTTATTTATTTTTACATATTTTTTACAAGCTAATAGACTTGTGTGTCATTACAGGCAGTTGTGTCAGATTTATGTGCATTTGGAGAGCGTGTAGCCAATGAAGTCGATGGCTGGGGGAGAGAATGCGAAGTTTCTCCTCCACAACTGGTTCAGTATGACTCTTGGGGGCGCAGAGTGGACCTCATCCACACTAGTGCTGCCTGGAAACGAATGAAAGACTTATCAGCTAGAGAAGGACTTGTTTCCATTGGCTATGAGCGACATTATGGGGAGTGGAGGTTAAAAATCTTTACTACACTTAATTATATCTTCAAGCTGGCCCCAAGACACAAATGTAACCCTAATCGCTTGTGTTTTAGTCGTGTTTGTCAAATGAGCAAGTTATTCCTCTTCTCACCCTCCTCTGGCCTCTACACCTGTCCTTTGGCCATGACTGATGGAGCAGCTAAGGTTATTGAGGTATGTCAGTAAATCAAGTTAAAAGATTCTTCAATTTTGCCTTACTATCTACTTAGAGGTAAATTACAGCCATTGTTTCTGTGCACAAGTCCTTAGGTACCTCTTGGCCAGTGAAGGAAGCCTTTAATCGATTGACCACTCGTAAACCTGAATATTTTTGGACATCTGGGCAGTGGATGACTGAGCGACAAGGAGGATCTGATGTCGGTTAGTCATGCTTGTGTTGTTATGGTAAAATACATGTCAGTATAACTTCACAGGTTTGTTTTGTATGTAACCTTTTCTACATCCCCACAGCGAATGGAACGGAAACAGTGGCTGTTCCTCAAACTGATGGTTCATTCAAGCTTTTTGGTTATAAGTGGTTCACCTCTGCCACAGACGCTGACATGACCCTCACACTGGCCAGAGTACAGGACTCCACAGGAGCTATAATACCGGTACAAAATTCTTTTCATGTGTAAACAGATAGAGTGTAAACACAAATAGACATGCAGCTATATATACTGTAGCGGTTCAATAAATTATGTAATAATAATAATTTAATACAATTTACTTTTTTTCCTTTATTATGTATGTTGGGTTGCTTGAGTAATTTGTACAAACCACTGCCCAGTACAGTCAGTGCATAATCACCATGCTACTGTATTTTCTCCCACATGCAGGGTAGTCGAGGACTGTCCTTGTTTTATGCTGAAGTGGGTCGTGATGAGAATGGTCAGTTAAAAGGCATAGAAGTACAGAAACTGAAGGACAAGCTTGGTACCAGACAGATGCCAACAGCAGAGTTACTGCTGGACGGACTGCCCGCTCATATGGTTCATAAAGAGTACCTCCAATCATGGAACACATGTTTTTACCAAAAATGCTAAACAACTTTATTTTAGATTTCTACAGAAGGACGGGGTGTGGCTTCCATTGCAAATATGCTTACAATAACCAGGATTCACAACAGTTTATCTGCAGCAGGAGCAATGCGAAGGCAAGATGTGTTATATAATGTTTGTCCATTGCAAGTCTGTTAAACTACATAAAAATAATATATAATTTCACTGTTATTAATTTATAATGTTGGCAGGGTAGTGCAGCTGGCCTGTGACTATGCAACCCGCCGCAAAGCTTTTGGGAAGCTTCTTAAAGACCACCCACTACACATGCAGACTCTTGCCAGGATGGAGGTAACATGGACAAAACTATTGGGCTTAATTTTCCCTGGATTGAAAAAGTCTTTGTTTTAGGTTGAAACTCGTGGGGCCTTTCTCTTGGTAATGGATGTCTGTCGTCTTTTGGGCCTGGAGGAAACAGGAATTGCAACTGAACTTGACTCACATCTCCTACGTCTTCTTACACCTGTTGTCAAATTGTACACAGGTAAGCAGGTAAGCTTCAGACATCTGAAATATCATTCTCTCCACTATCCAGCATCTAGCATACTCAACTTTCTTCTGTTATAGGCTGTGGCTGTGGTGTCAGAGGGGTTGGAAAGCTTTGGTGGACAGGGCTACATTGAAGATACTGGGTTGCCAGGACTTCTTCGAGATGCACAGGTCTCTATTAGTAAACTATAAAGCAAACAGCTGTATTCTAGATATATTGAGCATTTTGAAAATATAATCTGACCTTGTAGGTGTTGAGCATTTGGGAAGGCACAACAAATGTCCTGTCATTGGATATTCTCCGCTGTGTGGCAAGAAGCTCAGGCATGGTTTTTCATGCATATTTTAGCCACACCAAGGTAATGGGTAACTTGCCAAACTGGTTTAAATGAAACATGTGTAAGCATGAATGAGCACAAACATCTGACCTTATTTACTCTTGTCCTAGTCCCTTCTTAAAAATGCATCTGGGGTTTCTGTATTGACTCCAGCAGTAAAAGCAATACAGTGTGCACTCTCTAAACTGGAGTTATTGGTGCAGGACGCTGCCACCAAGGAGCCCCGCTATCTTGAAATGGCAGCGAGAGATCTAGCGTATAGTTTGGCTCGTATCTATGCAGGTAAAGCATCACCACAAAATAATCCAAAATTGAAATACACTTTCTTTAAATACCCACAATGTGATTATTTAATAGGGGCCCTTCTTACTGATCATGCATCTTGGAAAGGTGCATCTCCATCTGATTCATATGCGGCTTTAAGGTAAAGGCTGCAGTGTTTAAGTGGAAATAAATTAATAATCTGGCTTTTTTTGTTTTGTTTTGTTTTTCTTTTTTCCAGGTGGTGTGAGCAGGATTTGTGTCCTGTGGAAACTAACCAGGAAAGAGGCTGGTACAACCCTGGCTCTCCACATGATAATGCAGCATTAGTGTACCAGCAAACACAACACTGAAATAATTAAGCATTTCAAAAAACACAAAAAAGCCTTTATTGTATTTATATAGTACGACGTATAGAGTTTATTTCATCTGTGCAGAAAGACAGGGGGAGAGATGCTTTATTGATTTTGAGGGAAATTCAAGTTTTGCTGCAGCAAACTGTTGCAATTTTTCAGCCACATTTACACTGCGCTTCTCAGTCGCCTTTGTGTCTCAATCTAAGGTCTCAGTGCAATTTAACAGACGGACTGGTCAGGTAGGATTGGCAGATCTGTGTCAGGGCGGTTTTGGGAAATGAGGAGGCAAAAGTGTCTCTCCTCTGTGTCTTGCAATAAAGAGACTGTAAATTGTTACAGTAAACACAAGGTTCAGAATGTATAATAAACAATTTTGAATGTTACAAAATGTAAACTTTTTTATTATTACTGTTTATGTATTTCATGTGGTATTAAAATGTACATTTATCTTGTGATAAGTAACTAATACCAAACGATGTATGTACTGTTTGTTGTTTCATGAGTAATGTAAATGCCCAGTTTTAGGTTGGCCATTGAATGCAACACCGTCAGTAGGCGGAGTTTAACGTTGAAGGTACATGATGTGGACAGTGAAATAAGCAGCTGAAAGTGAGCACACTGGATATCTTCCAGGTTAGCTCGGCATGATAAGCAATGAATCTATTTTGAATGCATTTATGTAGATCAGTAAAGCGCCAACATATGGGTTAACGCCAGAATGAGAGCCGGTCCGGGATAAGCGAATACAGTTTTGTATCTTTTTGTATCATTTTACCATGCTGAAGATTTCCATGATTCCAGGAAGGACATTTTCGATATAACTTAAACCAAAACAAGACCATGGCGTCGCAAACTACGGACGAGGTTGGTTAAACATGGCAGCTGTTTACAGTGTTTAACCATTTCATTACTGTCTAGATGTTTGTTGTACATTGGTGCACCCTGCAGTGTCTGTTCCCAAGAAATCCACCCCTTTACACAGAATCTGATTGCAACACAGATTATTTATGGGATAGGATAGGAGGACTGGTTGAAGCATTCAAAACAGTCTGGATATGTATGTCATTTTTTTTAAAATTTATGTCACTTTGTATCACATTCAACAGTGGGTTACAGATGAAATGCAGAAGTGGTCCACAATTTTTATTTAACCAGGAAGTCCATTAAGATAAAATCTACTATTACTAATTGCAAACACTTGTATTATTTTTGTATTAGTTATCTAGATTAGTAGTCTTTTAGTATTACAGGTTTTTTTTAAATGTACCATGAGTTGAAATGTGTTTGTTTTTTCCTCTGGTTTAGTGTGATAAAGTGATGAGCCTGAATGCTACAGAGCGCTGTACCTTTGTGAAGAACACCTCAGATTGTGATTCAGAGGACAGCTTCATCAACTACATCCATGTGGTCTTTTGTCTGCTTCCCCCCAACCTCACCCCTCTCACTGTCATCCTCTGTGTAAGTACAGTGTTTCTGATTATTATCTGACCCAGTATGTGAAAGCACTGGGGTCAGGGAAGGCAGCTACAATTTGAGGAACCTGTGTACCAGATGGGAACAATTTATGTCATTTGTACACATCTTCTTCTTCACGTCTACTGAATTTGTATACAAACAGCACAGATTCCTATTGTAAACTAAACTTTTTTTTTTATTCAACAGATGATATGGCTGCTATTTCTATTTATTATTCTTGGACTCACTGCATCTAAGTTGTGAGTTTAATTTATGTTTTTGTCATGTATGTATTGTGTTTTTTGGCAATATTGTGTTTCAGAGACCCACTGACATTGATTTGGATATTACTAGTAGCATAAACACATTCCCCTCATTAGTCTCAGCTTTATGCTTTTACTTTCAGTGCACTGTATCCTACAAACTGGCTTTTATAGTCACATGTTCAGGTCATGTGTGAAGGGTATTGTTTCCCTTGAGATGGACTTCTATAACAGTTTTACTGTAGTTGAACTGAAAATGGGAACTTATTTTGATAAATACCTTACAAGTGAATAATTTTGTTTTCAGCTTCTGTCCCAATCTGTCTGCCATCTCCACCAGTCTGCACCTCACTCACACTGTAGCTGTATCCTTTTTATTATCTTCTATTAAGACTCATTTTAATTTCACTGAACCGCTTTAAATGCAGTAAATGCCCTTAACAGTAATTTTAGGGTGTGACGTTTTTGGCTCTTGGTAATGGGGCTCCAGACATCTTTAGTGCGATGGCAGCGATCTCTCATCCACACACAGCTGGACTGGCTGTGGGAGCCTTATTTGGTGAGTGTAATATTCAGTAACGCCACAGTAAATAATAATGTTAAACCTGTCTCTATTCTTTTAACATGATTATTATTACTTTTTTAAAATTCTCTGCAGGAGCTGGCATTTTTGTTACTACTATTGTTGCAGGCAGTGTGGCACTGGTCAAGCCCTTTGCTTTGGCGTCGCGTCCCTTTCTTCGTGATTTGATCTTTTATATGTCTGCAGTATATTGGACATTTGTTATTCTGTATAGAGGGACCATTTCACTGGGAGAGACACTGGGTATACTCATTATTGTCTTTTCAATTATACAGTTTACTTTGAATTTCTGAATGATTTAATGCTTATAGGGTTTCCTCATATTTTTGTAGGCTATCTCAGTCTCTATGTTGCGTATGTACTGACAGTAATTATTAGTACCATCATCTACAATCGACAGAAACATTCATTGAATTCAGCAGTTCAAACAACTCCACAAGTACCAGGTTAGAATCTAATAGCAATCCGCTATTTATTTGTTTTTTGTAAAATTATATTTATATTTCATTAGAGTATCAGTCATCTGACACTTCTGATGATGAGGAGATTCCATCTTTAAATTCCAGGTTTATCTCACATGAATATGGTAGGAAAGTTCACTTTGCAGGTCTACTTTACACACACCAACACGCATTACAATTTTGTGTGTCATTTTTTCAGAGACAGAATATAGACCACTTTTGCCATATTCAGAGTCAACAAGTCATATCTTACTTTGGTCTCTAAATCCCATTGAGAGCAGTAAGTGGAGGAGAAAATCCACTAAATGGAAAATATTTAAAGTATTGAAGGTGATTTTATATCAAATTAAAACTATATAATTTACAAAATCTTGTTAAAAATTTTATTTATTTTGTTAACCCAGATACCTCTGGAGTTTCTGCTGCTGCTCTGTATACCTGTTGTTGATCCAGATAAAGAAGACAAAAACTGGAAGCGCCCACTGAACTGCCTTCACCTAATCATTGCTCCAATCACATGTGTCTTTGCTTTCCAGTCTGGAGCATGTAAGTCAAATTGCACCCACAGTAAAACAGTAGGTGCACTACTTTTCTTGCCTGACCAGCCAGTCCCTTCAACATTCTGTTTAAATACAGAAGAATTTGGAACTAAAGAATAGCTCAACCACAAACGCTAATTTGAGTCACGTGTCTCTTTAAATGCTGAAAATCTCTCCTCTCAAAAATTCTCATAACATTCAAGACAGGGTATAACTATTACTTGAGATAAATAAGAGATTGGTGCTTCAGATGTTGATCCTGCTAAAATCTGTGCTGTTTCTCAGTCAGATAATTCTGGTGGAGGGTCAGCCATTTCCTTGTAATGTCTACATTGAGATGTTATTGTTTAGCCAAGAATGTTCCATGGAGATATGCAGGTGAGACCACCAGGCTCAGTTACAAGATCTGTGAAGAGGCAAGCCCATTCACTGTAAAAATGTCTATTTTTCAATGTATTTTTGAATAAAAACACCTGTAACACAACAAATGCCAGATGGATACATTTAATGCCATATTGTAAAACATTCCTGTCAAAGCAATAACATGTCCATGAGAAAAGAAGCCTGTGGACCTTTACTGTATAAAGTTCCATAGTGCCCCTTTAAACCTGTACTTCCCAGATGGAGGCTTCATGATACAAGGGCAGTTCCCTCTTTGGCTCCTGTTTTTACTCCTGGGTTTTTCTTGTCTGCGATTGTCTTTTGCACTACGACCAATGACCACCCTCCCTCATACCATCCTGTAAGTGATACAAAAACACACAATTTCTTCACTTCCTTTCAAATGTAATGGTGGAATATACCCTTTCTCATCCACCAGGTTTTTGCAATTTTAGGATTTGTGACCAGTGCTTTGGTGATCAGTGCTGCTGCCTCAGAAGTGGTCAGTCTTCTGCATATGCTGGGTGTAGTTCTGAGTCTCAGTAATACTGTCCTTGGACTGACTCTGCTGGCCTGGGGTAACAGCATTGGAGGTGATTATAAGAGTTAACAAAATTAATTTGATAACAGGTCAATATCCCCCTTATGGAGTATGACATCAAATTGTGTGTGTGTGTGTGTGTGTATATATATACACACATACATATATATACATATACATACATACATGCATATATGTATATATATATATATATATATATATATATATATATATATATATATATATATATATATACACATATACATATACATACATACATACATACATACATACATGTATATGTATATATGCATACATACATACATACATGTATGTATGTATATATATATATATATGCATACATACATGTATGTATATGTATATATATATGTATTTTCTTTTTGCAGATTGTTTTTCTGACATCACCCTTGCCAAACAGGGTTACCCACGGATGGCTATATCTGCGTGCTTTGGTGGGATCATTTTCAGTATCCTTGTTATAAATGTTTTTAAGATATTCAATGTAAAATTAGTATGTTTTCTTCTTGACTGGGGTGCGCAGACATGGTATTTGGGGTGGGGCTAGGATGTTTGGTACAGACGTTTCAAACACATGCTGAAGTGCAGGTAATCAAAGTCTCATTATTATTTGTCCAGGATCTCTACATTTGTGTACTTACTGATAAAGGGGACATATTATGTAAAATCCACTTTCACAATGTTATAATAGAATAGAATTCCCTCACCATAAACATATCGAGTTGTATTTCCATTAATTAAGAGTACCGTAATCTTCTATTGTCTGACAGTGAGTGCTCAGAAAATGTGTTTTCACTTACCCCCCATCTCCATCCACTTCGTTGTATCCACTTTTCAAAAAATTCTCACTCTCAGTCAAACATGTAGCTTTCAAAATGTCATATTGCAATTTTTCAGCACTGTTAACTAACTGCTGCTTGCTGAAATGCCACTGTGAAGAGGTGGGGCTTTTTAGTTCTCATTATGATCAGGAAGTCAATGCAGTTGTTTATATTAAGTTGTTTTAGATAAATATTGTAGTGTACAGTGAACATAAGTAATAATCTACATGTTACAGTTTAATACTAAATATCCAAAAAGCATATCATGATTACTTTTTTTCTCTTAAAGATTGAACCAGAGGGAG